GGCTTTTATTTTTATTTTTGGAAGCATCATAGAATCATAGAGTTGGAAGAGACCACAAGGGCCATCCAGTCCAACCCCCTGCCATGCAGGAACTCCCAACCAAAGCATCCCCGACAGATGGCCATCCAGCCTCTGCTTAAAGACCTCCAAGGAAGGAGACTCCATCATCATTGGAGAATGGTGGAACAGGGCTGGAGAAAGACTTTCAGTGTTGGATTACAGTGGCATGTTTGCAGTAAACGATGCAATAAAACTTGACCTGGGAAAGGATGGGATTCTAATCTAGGTGATCCTGTGGTAGCTGTGTATGCTTATGAACAACAGGCAAGGCAAAAAGCTGCTCCAGAATCAATTACTGAGCAGGTGTGAAAAGCAAAACCGAAAAAAGGGAGCAGATTAGCCTGCCTCAGTAGCCTGGCATGTTGAAAAACAGATCTGTAAGCTTCACTACCAAAATGGAAAGAAAAATGGAGGCTATTGAAAGAAGAAGAAGAAGAAGAAATAATCCCATAATGGATTTTGGAAGGAACTGTTAAGTGATCTCTAGAAGGTTCAAAATGTTTTTATTTACTCATGCAAGGCTTATCTGACCTGGTGGTTTCCTTTCACATGTGCATAATGTTAGTTTTGAATAAAACATTTGCTGAAACATGTTGAAGTGTTCACCTTTTTTGTGGTGCACGAACCTATTCCTATTTCTTCCCCTGTTATTTCTACTCCTGGTACCAAAGTTTCTGTTAAAGAGGTAAAGCCCAGAAACATATCTACTTTGTTTACAGAAGCATAGCAATACTAGAATGCATTTGGCTGGAATTTCCCCAAAAGCTGAAGCTGCCCTATAGATTGATTTATCTATCTTTGATATTTCCCCCCATTTAACAATACATTTGCAAAAAACGCAGTGTACTTCTTCCTTAGAAGCTTACCTTTGTCTGAATAGATAATCAGTGTCTGGGGCTTGTTTCACAGCAGGTTGGGTTTCTGGGTCAACCATGTTTGAAGCCATGTCTAATCACACCTCTTCTGGATTGGCTCACCAAGTATCCAGATTGCTGGGTACCTCACTGCATGCAACGACTGACAGGTGTGCCAATGACCTATTGACCAGGTGAGCTGACTCCTGAAACTAGTTACTGCATGCTGCTGTCAGGCAGGAGTGGCACATACGCATTTCCATATCTACTCTGAAACAAGCACCCATAATGAGTTGTTTAAATTGCTCTAAATATATGAGTATCCAATTTTGTATCTGTAGGCTATGAGAGCTGCTGAAGATGGCAATTAGCTGTGAAACAGGTACTGCTCATAGATATAGCAGGACACAAAATCAACAGTATAATTTCCACAGTGCTGTTGATCTATATATAAAGCAGCTGATGGTTTCAATGTGGGGAAGATTTTTTGACAGTAGACCTTTCAGCCTTTGCTTGAATACCTGCAGCAAAGGACAAAGCCATGAAGCAATGTGCTGTACTGCTTAATATCTCTTACAGCTAGGAAGTGTCTTCTAACATAGAAGATGTTTGGAAAAAATATCTGCAAAGCAGATTGCTTACCTGAAATATCCTTGGGTGGGATTTGGGGAGTAGGACATAAAATGGATATGGATGCTTGATGTGTCATTTCAAAGACAAGCAAAAACAGAGCTCACCTCACATCTGGAAAACTTTGTGCCCCCTCCTGTTTGAAGGTATATCTGTGCACAGTTGGTGTTGGATGAAGCTGTAGATGCTTGTTTAACAATTGATTTTGTTGACAGTACAAGGATAAGACTGTATCAAAGTCAGTGTGAACACTATAGAACAGAAACAAATAAGAACATGTTATAACAGTGACACTAGATCTGAGGTAAGCATTGTGTCCTTAAGAGTCTTCTCTTCAGATTCAGTTTGACTGCTTTTTCTTTCTCTTGTAGAGTATGTGATACAAGGAAATATCTGAATGCAGGATGTCAAGATCACCGAGGAGCCTCTGCCTTGCTGCTCACACTGTTTCTTTATCAAGAACTGAATTTGATCTGCAGATAGACCCATACAGTATGTGTTGTCAGCTAGGTCTTCAAAGAAAATGAACTATGTTTTCCATGAACTATAGATGCTTTTGAAACATAGTTATACATGGCCTGAAACACAGGGCATAGAGGCTGTCTTCGACCCATCTAAATAGCCTCCCTGCCTAGTTAGGTCAAAGGTAGGCTTGGAAAGCTAAAAATGCCACCCCCTCTTACCAGCTTGAATTCATTTTAAAACAATCCCGAAAATAGAAAAAGGTAAAAAGACCATTTGGAAAGCAATTCTGTAATTCCATTCCTATTCCTTCCTCCCCCCCCCAACCAATGATGATTTCCCTCTGCTGCAGGAAGCTTTACAAACAAATTGGTTACAGAAGCAACACCCTGTGCAAATTATGAGGGATAAAGGAAAGAGGAGGGTAGAATTGCATCAAGGCTTGTATAAAGAAAGGCAAAAGGGAACATGGAAATTGTTCATTGTACAGGTATATAGGAAAGTGGGATCCTTGTCTGCTTTGGACTATAATCAAGTTTCCGTTTTAAATACTGAACACAGACGAGTTGTTTCCCCAGTTCTCTTGGAGACTTGACTTAAGACGTTATCACACGGGGGCAAATCTGCTGGTTAATCCACACAAATCCCAAACAGAAACTGGATTTGTGCCTCACGTTTTCACACGACGTCGCACAGAAACTGGACAGAAAGTGGACAGAAACTTGTGTTAACAGATCTTTTGAAATTCGGTTCTTTGGAGGAAATGCAAATGCAAAATTAAGGTAATTTCGCATTTACCGTAATGTGAAAAGCAAATGCGCATTTGGGAGCATTTCCCTGCTGTTCCCATGGTTCCAGTGAGCATTCTTCTATCTGCACATGTGCAAGAGGCTCATTTCTAGTACATTTACCGGCTTTTCTCACTTGTATGTGAACGTTAAATGCGCTTACTTTAATTTCACAATTAAGGTAATTACGTGTGAAAGCCATTTGCGGAATCAATGTTTATTTTCCATTTATTTTCAGAATGCCTCATTTCCACTTTATTATCGCTCTCTGGCCCACGTGTGACAACGTCCCTAGAAACGTACTTTGCCTTCAGACAGTTCACTGATGCCTACATGGGCTTATCTGGGTAAACAATTCAAAGCACATTCTGACTACATTTTTGCCTTGGCAGGATACTTGTGCAAGCATTAATTCCAGCAGTGGTAATTTTTGAAATGCAGTACTCTTTATGACAGTCTCCCCTGGCTCATCCATGGGAAGGACCCCCCCCCCCATGCAGGCAGCTAAGTTGACCCATGACAATAAACAAGTTCTAAACATTTTGGTCTCCAACAGGACAGGTCATTTGTAAAGCTAATGGATCTTGTCTTTTCCATACCAAGCCACCTCAAAATATTTTCATTACAACAAGGTACGTTATAACATTATACTGTGTTTGAGGAAAATCTCTGCTCCTTCAGGCTATGATGAGGACTGAAGCTAAGCCCCAAGAGAACTGGGAATCTTCAGTGGACATGGTACATGGTGTGGTTCTCCCGGTTGATAAAAAATCCTGTTGCTCTGATCCTGGTGAGTCATAGCCCCACTACACCACTGCCTAATTCAGGAGTTGGAATTCTATGTCCCCCTATGCTTAAATTTCAACTCACACCACATTCCTCAAATCAGCTAGGGTGGCTAGGATTGCTGGGAATTGCACTCTGGCAACATCTGGAAGGCCACACAATTCCCACTCCTGGCTTAATAAAAAGAAAAGCGTTTATCATCCAGTCCTAATGTGGTGGAATGAGGGAGAGCAGTCTGTTATAGAGCCCATCTCTTTCATAAATAAATCGTAACACAAAAGACAGGATGACATGCATACTGGCAGGAGTGTTCAGTCTGCGAAGAGGTCTCAGGATGGAGAGTTCAAGTTAAAATATGCAGAGGATCAGTACTGGTCAAGAAAGTACATGATGCTCCTGTTTCTAGGGAATCATTTGCCCATCTCTCACTTGTCCTAAGTGGATCTCTGAGAATAGAACCCCAGCAAGCCCACTTCTGCAGCTGGCTTGCAAAAGATGGAAGGTAGTCAAGATGCCTCAGCTACAGAGGCAACAAGATGATATTTTCTTCAAGAAATGTGCTAACAGAAATGACAAACTATTAATTGTGCCTTTCCTCTTTTTCCTTCTTGTTTTACAGGATTAAAAGAGAGAAACTGAGAGAGAGAGAGAGAGCCAGGACAGCTGGCATTGCAGCTCTTTCTGCCACAAAACAAGGAAGCAAGAAAGGCTGTCAGTCACAGATGGCTTAATTAGTCCTCAGAGGTAGTGTAATTAGACCCTTCCTTCAGATTCAAGTTTTCTCCTGTAAAGATCATTCCACAGCTAATAATACATAAAAGAGGAAAATGAAAAGGAAACTAAGAAGAAGGAGAGGAGAGGGGAGGGGAGGAGAGGGAGAGTGGGGAGGGGGAGAAGGAAAAAGCACTTGGGCAACGGTTTAGCAGTATATAATTATCTCTTGTGCATTTCCTCTCCTTCACTGCTTTAAACTGATTCAAAAGTACTGGTGGATGGTACAAGCTGAAGGAATGCAAATTGGCTTGCTTGAAATAGCAGCACAGACAACTTATCAGGCAAAGCCTGCTTTAGAGGAACAGAAGTTTATGAGGCCTGGTGCCTTGGTCCAGCAGACAGACTCTCATCTCAGGGTGTCTCTTAGTAGATGGCATTAGATAATAACACTACACGCATGGAAAGCAGGACTCCAAATCATATGTATGAACATATTTCTCATAATTCTTGTTCCAGTACAGGTGTATTCAGGGGTGGATTTGAATGTTTGTTTTCGTGTGCCTTCAAGTCGTTTCCAACTTATGGTAACTGTAAGGTGAGCCTATTATTGGGGTTTTCGTGGCAGGATTTGTTCAGAAGAGGTTTTGCCATTGCCCTCCCCTGAGGCTGAGAGCATGTGACTAGCCCAAGCACCCAGTGGGTTTTGTAGCCAAGCAGGGAATCGAACCCTGGTCTCCAGAGTCGTAGTTCAACACTCAAGCCATTACACCACATGGCTCTCATTTGAGTGCTACATTGAGCTTAGGCAGAAAGTAAAAGTGATAGGGACCAATTTCACATATTGGCTGGTATCCTGTTAGTGACATACACAGGAATATTGTGCTATAGTTGTGGAATGAATTGTTTGGACAATGCATAATAATGGTATCTAGCTGACAGTGGCTAAGCAGAATTGCGCATTTGGGACCTTTGCATATCTGGTAGTGCATTAAGGTACCCAGTAGCATGCGAAAGTGCAAAGCATCTGTGTGTTGCCTTTATTCGTTGTGCATTGCAGTTGCTTAATGGACTGTCAATCATGCACATTGACCATTAATCCACATAAGATGCTATTTATTGGTATTCAGCGTAGGGATTGTGTAACATAACTGTTCCAAGGGATATTTACGCTACACTAAAGCAGTGTAAGATCTCAGCCATTATCTCTTCTATGTCCTCAGAGCACAGCAAGTTAATTGCCAGAATAGCACCAAAGGCTGGAGGTCTATTACAGGAATAGAGCTGACCTTGCTAACATGAGGAACATGTGATGGCATTGCTTCTAGGCAGCTGAATTTTCAGTTGAGGGACACCACTGTTACAATGGGTGTCAATAATGGACTGCTGAACTCAGAGAATACCTGCTTGGGTTCAAATGATCCACATGTGTTCCTTTAGCCCCTCTCTTCCATGACCTAGCATGCTTAACTGCCCAGCTCTGTGACGTTATTTCTTACCCACTCAGAGAGCATTCACATGCTCATATCCAGTCCAACTGGCCATACTTTCTCTTGCCCCACAACCCCTAGAAACCCATTAATTGTGTATGTATTTAATTGCATAATAACATCCCACAATTCTTCACCTTGGATCTATGAAAAGAAGACCAGGCTCAGAAGAGGCACCCTCTTTCCTCCAAAACATTCACACTCGACAATGATACGAAACCTAGACAGGGCTGTCACCTACTTCTGAACATGGGAAGTATCTCCACCTGTCACTACCTGTGCCAAAACTCATTCCAGGTGCCCTGTTCTTCTCTCTACAAACCAGACTGTTCTGCAATGGGATTTCCAGATTATCAGTAATCTATTCTAGGGTAAGGATGCAGTTCAGGTATCTCAAGTTCTCTTATACCAGTAGTGTAGTGATACATTTAGAAAGGCAGTCATCATACCAGTCCCCATAGCGATGTCCCCAACCAGAGTTCAAAAATATAGCCAACAATGCTGATCCACCTCTCTGTCTCTCTTTCTCTCTCTCTCTGCATGTTTATGTGTGTGTAATACATATCCCACACAGCAGCAGCACTACAAAGGATAATGCCCAATTTCTTAGGATCAGCTGACAGCCTTAGTGTAATGATCTGGCAGAGTGAAGTGTGGCAGTTAAGGTTTTGGTTAATTCAGGATCATGCATTATGCATTTGATATAGTAGACTGAAGGCCATAAAGGCTTATGCCAAAAAACAAAACAGAAATGGTTAGTTTTTAATGTGCCAGAGCCAGTGTGTTGTTGTGGCTTGAGCATTGGACTATGACTCTAGGGACTGTGGTTTGAATCCCTGCTCGGCTATGGAAATCGACATGAAAACCTTGCACAAGCCACACTCTCTGTGCCAAGAAAACTCTGTGATAGGTTTGCCTTAGGGTTGCCATAAGTTAGAAATAACTTGAAGGCACACAACAACAACAACAACAACTTTAATGTGCCACAAGACATTTTTGTTTCCACTACAGCAATCTAACATAGCTAAGCCTCTGGAACTCATTATGCATGGGCTTTTGGGCCCCTTCATTTGAGCAAAGGAGTTTGACATTTAGAGATCCAAAACATTATCCATGTCAAAAGAGGAGTCACCCTGTCCTACAGCCAAGATGACATGGCTCAAGCTTTAAGCTTGGTTATTTTCTGGTATTTCTTTTAAGGCAAAGTGTGAGTCATATAATGTCATACAAAATTATGCTTGAACCATTGGATTTATTGCTAAAATAACAATATTCAGTTCACTGGGAATTTTGCCTAAGTTGGATAGGTATAGTTCTCAGCAGAGAATGTGTGATTCATTATATAAAGTAGTGACAGTTTAGACTGGCACAATATCTATGTTAAATAGTTGTGTTAGCAGCAGCAACAGCAGCATTAGCAGCAAAATTGTCAACTAAGTCAGAATGAATCAGAATGCAGGCAACAATACATGAGAGCATGCCTTATAGTTTGAATTAGCTAGGACCAAGGACGTTATCACACGGGGGAAGTCCTGTGAGGAAACGGGGGTTTAAACTGAAAATAACCTGCAAAAGCGGGTATATTTTCAGATGATGTCGCATTTAAAAGCAGGTTAATCCGAACAGAAAGTAGTCAGAAACTGCTTCTTTTTATTTATTTATCTTCCGAAATTAAAAAGAAGCAGTTTCTGCCTACTTTCCATTCGGAGTAACCTCCTTTTAAAAGCGCAGGAGGTTTTCACATGGGGAAAGCCAGCTAATTAATTGCTTCTGCGGTAGCACTTTCACTTTAAAGCTGGCTTCTGTTCGGAGCTCTCCGTGTGATAACGTCCTAAATTACTGTTCTTTGAGTAAACTTATGTGATTTCCTGGTGTTCCAGTTACAGTGTAAAAACCCAATTCACTGCATTGGTTTATGCAATGAAAGACAGCACAGATAGATAAATAAAATCTATAAAGGAGTTAATATGAGAAATGGGTCTCTAGTGAAATGGCCATTACATTACAGAAACCAGATCACATTAAAAGCTAAACATATTTCAGGGTAAATGACACTTTCATAATTAAAAATAAAATCAAAAGATGTTGCTGTTGCTCAACTAAAATGGTTTCTTTGCTGTATCATTTTCTGTCATCTTCTGGGGATGAAGGAATTTGTAGTCCAACATATTTGGAGGGCAGCTGGTTGTAGAAGGCTACTCTATAGTTAGTTTCCTCAGCATAAGCATATGTGTCTAATGCAGTATCGTAAGTATTGCCAATGCCTTCAACAGTATTGCTCCTGTACTGTTCAATTTTGTGAATGAGGGAATCTTGGCAGGTGCACTTTTTCAGTACCTCTAGCACTCTGCCATGACAAAACTGCACCTGCTGAAATTCCCAGTTCTGTACCACTGTTAATATATGTTGACTCTAATCTGGGAAGTCTCTGTACCACAACTTTCCACTACAGCTGGTGAAGCACCTTCCCTCCATTCCACTGCTGTGGCTTCTGGGGGAAAGAAAAGCCATCAGGGGAGAGACTGAGGACTACAGAGACCATCAAGGGGCTGTAGGAAGGAAGAGGCTGCTGTTTACTACTGCCTTGGATCTCTGCTTCCCTTAGTGGTCTAGCTCTTTGCAGGACTGAAGCCCTGATTCAGCAGGCACTGCTTTTTACACTTGCACTTCATTCTTGCACTGGATATAAGGGCAAAGATTTGTTATTTTGCTGGACAGAGACAAGGGTTTGTTACCTACATTACCTCCTCAGCCTCAGAGGGAGAGAGGCAGGCCAGCTCCATCAGGCCTAGTTTAGATTAAGAATGAGAGCCCTCCCACCAGTCCATCTGCCATGGTCCAGGCCCACTGCCACTCCATTCTCCTTTTGTGTCATGTCCTTTTAGAATGTAAGCATGAGGGCAGGGAACCCATCTAATTAACCATTTGTAAGCTGCTCTGATGATGAATCTGTACTCAGGACAAGAGGCTAATTTCAGAACAGAGCACAGAGAAACAGAATGGTTCCCAATTGGCAAAGGGGACAGACAAGGCTGCATCCTTTCACCTTATCTGTTCAATTTGTATGCAGAACATATTATAAAAAAAGGACACAGAAGAAGGAGATGTGAAACTAGGAGGAAGGAATATCAACAA